TTTTAAAGATTTTATTTATTTATTTGACAGAGAGACAGCGAGAGAGGGAACACAAGCAGGGGGAGTGGGAGAGGGAGAAGCAGGCCTCCTGCCGAGCAGGGAACCTGATGCGGGACTCGATTCCAGGACCCTGGGATCATGACCTGAGCTGAAGGCAGACGCTTAACGACTGAGCCACCCAGGTGCCCCCCCCCCTTTTTTAAAAAAGATTTATTTATTTTAGAGAGAGAAGAGGGGGGAGGGGCTTAGGGAGAGGGAGAGAGAAACTTAAGCAGACTCTGTGCTGAGCATGGCGCCTGACAAGGGAGCTCCACCTCATGACCCTAAGATCACAACCTGAGCTGAAACCAAGAGTCGGATGCTTAACCGACTGTGCCACCCAGGTGCCCCTAGATGGGTTTCTAAATTGAAAGGACCATTTTTTCTTAAAGATTTTATTTATTTATTTTTGCGAGAGAGGGAGGGGGAGAGAGAGAAAGAGAGAGAGAGAGAATGCACACATGAGCAGGGGGGAGAGGCAAAGGGAGAAGCAGACTCCTGACTGAGCAGGGAGCCCCACGTAGGACTCCATCCCAAGACCCCGGGATCATGACCTGAGCTGAAGGCAGACACTTAATCAACTGAGCCACCCAGGTGCCCAAAGGACCATTCTTATTTTTGAATATGGACTAGATATTAGATGATACTGTGGAATTATTGTTCTATTAGATGTAATGATGGCATGGTGACTATATATGTATGTGTGTGTATATATATATACATACACATATATATATACACACACACATATATTTATTAATTAAAGATACACATTTAAATATATGCAGGTTAAGTGACATGGGGTTGGGATTTGCTTTTAAAATACTTTAGAAAATAAGATGATTGGATATAGTTGAAAGAAGGTTGGCAAAATATTGGTAATTGAAGCTAGATGATAGATACATGACATTTTAAATATGTATATGTTTGAAATATTAAAGTTAAAAAAAGAGAAAACATTCCCCATTCTCCTTCTGGGTTTTCATTAATATAAGTGAATTCTACGTTGAGAATTTATTATTTATTAAAGTAGTATATACTCATGTAGAAAATTGAAAAAATATAGAAAAATATGAAGAAGAAAATAAAAATTACTCATAAGCTTACCAAACAGAAACAACCTCTTTAAGATTTCTTTTGGCTTTTCCTTTTATGTAAGTGCGTATGTGTGTGTATGCACGTGTTTGCATGTTAGTATATGTTTCCCCAAAGAACCAAGGAGATTTTAACAGTTTTTGGCTTGAGAAACATTTTCTAATATTGTTCTTTAGAGGATTCTTTTTTTTTTTTTTTTTAA